TTTGAAGACTTATGCCGGCTATGTTTATCTGCAGGGGTGTAATTTGCATTGGGCCTTTTAGCACGCGAGTAGAATGTCTAGAGGAGAAACCTGTTTCAAGTCAGTTAAAATTACAAGAAAGCTCTTTAAAAGCAAACTTTAATGAGGAAAACGTAGACAAAAATACTTGTCTTACAAACTTCAAAGTGTAGCTGAAAATCTACTACTCGTACTAAACTAGAAAAACTTGAAAACGACGTGTTTCTCTTGTTACCCATCACCTTGCGCAAACAAGACCTCAGAGATATGATACAAATGAACTATAACTTGAAAACCACTTCTCACGCTAATACAGGACACTATCAAAACTCAAGCTGGTTCACTCTCGGGATTTCTTAACGGAAAAAAGCTAAAAAAGCGCATGCCAATAGCAAAATGGCGCTGACCAATGGTACTTTGGCTCCATTGCACAGGTCACCATCATCGCAACAGTTGACGTCACAGTCGTTGATTGTTGCTCCTGCTTGTCCCACTTGCTTACACAGGTTATTGTTACAGCCCGCTTTGACACTACAATCCTTGTAATAAGTTTTGAAGGATACGCCTGCCACTTCTCCATCTAGAAATATTTTGCCACAGCTGTCGTAACCGGAAGCACAAGTTGTCTCTACCTTGTTCGTTTCACAGTCATCCCAATCCTTCAATGTCGTACACTTGTAGCACTTGAGACCATACCCTGTGAAACAGGACAACATCGCCGAGTCAGTGCTAATCCGGTCTAACAAAAAGCAGAATTAAGTTTACCAATAAACATTTTTTAATACTGATAAAAATGCGATACAGGGTACGGTGCTGATCTGCAACAGAAAAAAATCTTCTTTAAAATTATTGACAATACCTGGACAATACTAGTAAATGTGTATAGTGAGACATGATTCTCAATTAAATTTACTGGTATTTACAATGATTTCTTTTTGGACGTCTGTGGGATAATAAAACCATTTCAGCGCAAAAACTGATGCATTGAGTCAAAGAGAAAAAAAAAACAATTTGTTGGTCAAACGTTGCATAATAACTACTCAATGTAACTATAAACCTAAGGAAGCGCTTTTAAAATTTCACTTTGCAGTTCTAGAATAAGATTGTAATGGAAAAAAGATCGTTGTACAGTGATAATCGCCCTTTTCCCGAGAAATATAAAGTGAAAGACCATATATAGATTCAAGAAAAAAAATAACTGAATCCGTATTTCAAATCTTCTTAAAACAGGATTCTTCTCTTGATATAGATACGTTAATAAATGAAATGAAAAGAATTTAAACTTTTCTTGTTTCTATTTATGTGCTTGAGGCTTCGTTGGCCTCTACATCTAAATCTACATCCGGGGAGGGAGGGTACTGATATATATGGGCTATATAGGTATGTGCCGCTGTGAAGGGTATGGTTTTCAAGCAGTTTACTCTAGGATAGGGTATATAAATCAGGCGTTTGGGTCTAGAATAGGGTATCATTTTTCAGGAAACTGATCAGTTGGCTGAACATTTTATCTAGACTAGGGACTGTGGTATAAGGTGTTGTTTTGGGTAAACTGTGCTAGTGACCTCAGTAGTTTCTGGAAAACAGCTACTCTAGGATAGCGGGGATTTGGGAAGTCTACTCTAGTATAGGGTATCAAAATTCAGCTGAACTAGCTCTGGTATAGGTCAAGGGTTCCAGGGTCCCAGCGGCACAAAATCAAACAGATCTCGTAGACAAGCTTTGTCGGTTTTTGATGTGAATAAAAGTAATGTTTCTTCATCGACTGAATCGATTTGCTGAATTCCATATATATCTGGCTCATAACAAAGTTCAACAGGCTCTCCTTCCAAGGATCTAAATATAATGCAAGCTCTTTTTCGTCTGTTATTTGAAGCGTCAGGAGCATCTCCTGTTCTTTGATTTTTTTCTCAGCTCCTTTCTCTTTCTGGCTTCAGAAGTTTTAGATTTTGAGCCAATGTGGTAAGCACCCCGGTACTTAGCAAATGCTTTGTCTAAATCTGGGTGGTAGGAGGGGGGGTGCGACGTTATTTTTAACATAACAGAGGGGGGTTAGAACTAATTTTTTTTTGTTTTGGAGGGGGAGGGGTTACTGTCTAAGTTTTTGTTAGATAGCTCTAGTTTTTCAGCCCCCCCTCCTAATAATTATTGCACAGTCCCTTAGTCAGAAATTCAGCTATTTCATCTTCCAATAGCCGTGAAGGCCATTTTTTAGTTCACTCTTGATAAACAGTACGACGTTGATCGATGGCCTACTCCCCCTGCAGCCTCGTTTCCAAACCAATGCACCTTCGATCAACTGGATCAACCTGGTCTAGTCCAATCAAATATACCATCGAATTGATGGTATATTGCTCGCATCTTCTAAATTTGGTCAGCGCCGGCTGGTTCGTTTGAAGACTTATGCCGGCTATGTTTATCTGCAGGGGTGTAATTTGCATTGGGCCTTTTAGCACGCGAGTAGAATGTCTAGAGGAGAAACCTGTTTCAAGTCAGTTAAAATTACAAGAAAGCTCTTTAAAAGCAAACTTTAATGAGGAAAACGTAGACAAAAATACTTGTCTTACAAACTTCAAAGTGTAGCTGAAAATCTACTACTCGTACTAAACTAGAAAAACTTGAAAACGACGTGTTTCTCTTGTTACCCATCACCTTGCGCAAACAAGACCTCAGAGATATGATACAAATGAACTATAACTTGAAAACCACTTCTCACGCTAATACAGGACACTATCAAAACTCAAGCTGGTTCACTCTCGGGATTTCTTAACGGAAAAAAGCTAAAAAAGCGCATGCCAATAGCAAAATGGCGCTGACCAATGGTACTTTGGCTCCATTGCACAGGTCACCATCATCGCAACAGTTGACGTCACAGTCGTTGATTGTTGCTCCTGCTTGTCCCACTTGCTTACACAGGTTATTGTTACAGCCCGCTTTGACACTACAATCCTTGTAATAAGTTTTGAAGGATACGCCTGCCACTTCTCCATCTAGAAATATTTTGCCACAGCTGTCGTAACCGGAAGCACAAGTTGTCTCTACCTTGTTCGTTTCACAGTCATCCCAATCCTTCAATGTCGTACACTTGTAGCACTTGAGACCATACCCTGTGAAACAGGAGAACATCGCCGAGTCAGTGCTAATCCAGTCTAACAAAAAGCAGAATTAAGTTTACCAATAAACATTTTTTTAATACTGATAAAAATGCGATACAGGGTACGGTGCTGATCTGCAACAGAAAAAAATCTTCTTTAAAATTATTGACAATACCTGGGCAATACTAGTAAATGTGTATAGTGAGACATGATTCTCAATTGAATTTACTGGTATTTACAATGATTTCTTTTTGGACGTCTGTGGGATAATAAAACCATTTCAGCGCAAAAACTGATGCATTGAGTCAAAGAGAAAAAAAAAAACAATTTGTTGGTCAAACGTTGCATAATAACTACTCAATGTAACTATAAACCTAAGGAAGCGCTTTTAAAATTTCACTTTGCAGTTCAAAGCATTTTCCCCTCTGTTTTGATTCATAAACCAAAACAAGCAATAGACCTTTTCAAATTTATGGAGTATTATGGAATGCCCAGAGGGCATGAGCACATTCCGATATATTCGCTTAGAATTAACGCGCGCCTTTCGGAGCATTTTTTCTTAAGGTCTTTCTAGAATAAGATTGTAATGGGAAAAAGATCGTTGTACAGTGATAATCGCCCTTTTCCCGAGAAATATAAAGTGAAAGACCATATATAGATTCAAGAAAAAAAATAACTGAATCCGTATTTCAAATCTTCTTAAAACAGGATTCTTCTCTTGATATAGATACGTTAATAAATGAAATGAAAAGAATTTAAACTTTTCTTGTTTCTATTTATGTGCTTGAGGCTTCGTTGGCCTCTACATCTAAATCTACATCCGGGGAGGGAGGGTACTGATATATATGGGCTATATAGGTATGTGCCGCTGTGAAGGGTATGGTTTTCAAGCAGTTTACTCTAGGATAGGGTATATAAATCAGGCGTTTGGGTCTAGAATAGGGTATCATTTTTCAGGAAACTGATCAGTTGGCTGAACATTTTATCTAGACTAGGGACTGTGGTATAAGGTGTTGTTTTGGGTAAACTGTGCTAGTGACCTCAGTAGTTTCTGGAAAACAGCTACTCTAGGATAGCGGGGATTTGGGAAGTCTACTCTAGTATAGGGTATCAAAATTCAGCTGAACTAGCTCTGGTATAGGTCAAGGGTTCCAGGGTCCCAGCGGCACATCCCCACCCAGGAATTCCGAAAGTACCCCCTCCCCCGGATTTATATCAACAAGTTTTCTATCCCTCCTGAAGCTGCTTGTAATTATTGTATTTTGAATTCATTATAAAATGATTGTAATTAATCTCGTCTGTACTTTCGTAATTATTATATATCTTGTATCTTTATGTTATTAGAATAATATAGTTTGCATTCATTAATGTAATTAATCTCTGTAATTTTCGTAATTATTGTATATCGTTATGTTATTAGAATAAGATTGTATAAGGTAATAGGCACGTCTCCATACTACCTGCCCCGATTAGCTCTGCTATTTTGCAGGTAGTCTGTATTTGTAATTTATTTATTGTTAATGTAAACAAATAAAGCTTCTTCTTCTTCTAGATTTCTCGGCGAGTATAACGGATCGTGCTCTTCTCGCCGTATCGGTAAAAAGGTCTATTTTTCCAACCACGGCGTAAATTTAAAATCAGGTTACGCGAGGCTCGTTTTTATTTTTTTCCCAGTGTGTTCTTTTCCCTTTTTATAGGGTCCAAATAATTTCATCCAGTCAAATCTCGAACGTTTTTACAAGCGCTCCAAGCTCTAAAAGAGCTCTAAAAGAGCTCTAAAAGAGTTTTCATTTGGGTGGTCAATGAAACTCGTCAGCTTTGTAAAGCGCTTGCACCGACTTTCCGAACGGAGTTTACATCACAACAAACAGAAGAACTGAGTATTCTTTCGTGCGGAACCGATTCCGTTAAGCTCTCTTGTGCCACACCTCATGACATCAAGCTACAAACTGCACAGAGAAGGAAAAATCAACAATAAAAGTAAACGTAGGCAACATTTACAAAGGCGCTGGTGAAAGTACAAATCATAGAAGTTATCCCGTATATGCAACGTTGGAGAACCGACATGTGTTCGAGCAGACCAGGAACAACAGCTTTCCGTGCCAGCGCAAGGACGTTTTTTTTCTTATTAAATATGCATCCTTTTCTGTCCAACACATGGTATTTGCATTTTCCATTTGGAAATTTCGTACCAGTTAATTTTTTCACCGTCAAAGTTTTAACATCGATGAATACTTGGATAATGCGGAGGTTGCCTAGGACACTCAGCGACCTGCTAGCGACTCTGATAAACAGTTTTAAAGTTTTGTAACGTTCTCACGTTTTTTCAGCGTAACCATCAGGTAGACGGCCTTATTTCACCTATTCGGATATCTGAATGTTTTTTTAATTCCCCTTTCTAACGTTTTTTTTTAGAACCAGAATAGGATCTTCTAGAATTAGACTGTTAACATTCCCTCAATTTCCTGTAAGACTGTCGCGACTGATCGCACTGGGCACTCATTAACAAGACTATCAAGTGCTCAGCCAACTTGCTTCAATGTTCATGTGAAACCAAGATGGAGCGCGGGCCGATATTATTAGCGCTGGAAAGCGAAAATGGTGGACTGCAAACAGCATATCACAAAGTTAGAGTGAGAAAATAATCCAAACCTCGTCATTAAAACCTCGTTTTTGTCGAGTATCGCTTATTGAGTTCGAAACTAAATGAAAGTGTTCGTTGATGGTGAAAGATGTTTATATGTTTTCAAACGAGGGTAATTTTTTGCGTAGAAAATGTTTTAAAGAAAGGAATACCTGATGACGCTATTCGGTAACAAGGATGTAGCATTCTATCTTTCTAATGCTTTGGCACAAACGCACGACCTGACAGCTTTTCTAACCTTAAATCTTAAAACTGAATTTGCTTTGTGTCGTTTCAACTTATCAACTATCGGTAACGATAAAATATGTGTTGTGGATTGTATAGCCTGCGAACGCGATCGTATGTGGATCGATTCATGCGGCAGTGCCAGCAAGAACATACAAATCAAACGAGTGGTGGGAGCGGCGGTTGCATTGCGCTGGGAGAAAGAGAAACAAGTTCAAGAAAAAAATAACATATAGAAAATCGGCCTGGAGTAAACGTATAGTGGAAGACGATAAACGAGTTCCACTTTTTCTACCTGCAACATCTTGACGGAACTGCACATGGCAAACTTACACCCAAAAAGCCTCCTTGTTGGACAAAAACAAAAATGTTCTTGGCATAATAAGTTACAGTGTTATCATAACTTACCGACTGAAATAGAAACAAAGAAGACCAGGGCAAACAGGATCTTCATATTGAAAGCAGCAGCGATGCAACTTTTTCTTTGCTATGGACAGCAGATCTTTGCACAGGGCGGTTAGCGTTGTGATAAGATTTGTGAAAATGTTCTTCTTACAGGCAGCCTGAAAATTAACTTGCCCTTGTCAATCTACTGATCACTAGCCAATTGAAACGTAGGTTTTTCAATGAATTTCATTTAGACAAACTTTCTTTCAGCTGTCAACATGTCAAACAGCTAATGATTTGGCTTTGTTGCTAACCGCATTTGAAAGTGGATGAAAGGAGTGAGGTGGGTGTGTTACGCGTAGCTTATCACGGGCCTTTTCAACATACATTAAAAATATTGGTACCATGTTTGCCCTGGTCCGATTATATAGCTTAGTAGACTTTCTAAAAGTCCTTTTTTCTTGTTCCTGGTTCGTTGCGCGACCTCTTTGAAGCTCGCTTCGCTTTCTAAGAACTTATGAGAGGTGAGAACTTGTAGAGGCTGACTTGCCAGAAAGTCCAATCGCTTAAAAACCCTCTCCGGAGTCCACTATTCAGCTTCCCTGGGAACTAGCTATGTAATGGCTAAATGTGAATGTGTGATCTGAAGGGTGAAATGTGAATGCGAGTTTCACTTGTAGACTGTATGGGAAAACACGAGAAACATGGGTTTTGGACGGTCAAGCTGTCCTACTCCTGGGGAATTAACGAAAAAAACTGGAAAGTCGTTACATCACTAAGATGAACCAAACAGCAACTGGCGAGATTTCGTGAGACATCTTTTGTCGAAGCGGAGACATAAGTGAAAAATATAATAAAAGCCTTTTGCAAAAAACCGCGGAACCTTATAAAGATTAGAAATTAGCATCTTAATTGAAATAATCCCCTCTTCTTATTTCGTTTTTTTGTTTCCTCTGCCTCGTTTTCTCACTGGCGTGGAAATTTTCTCCTGTCGTTTTTCAGTTTATTCTGTATAGTTTTACATTGGCACATGTAAAAGTTAAGAAAAAAAGTAAAAAAAAAAAACAAAAATAATGAAAAACCAAAACCTTTGTTATTCAAAATACCTATCTCTTATTTAACGCAAACAGCAAACTGTAGAATGCCTGGCCACTTATTTGCATATTTTTGCTTAAGTGAGCCGAAGAGGCACCTTTGGTACTTTTTTTCTCTTAGGTTTATCAAAAGAGTCCCAAAACCTGTAAATTAATGGGGTTAGTCCAGATAGGAAAATACTTCTACAGTGAATGTACTAACATAAATAATGGAGTCTTCAGTCGTGCTGTCTGGCCTCCAACTGGCTGAAGAGCAGATTTATTTACCGCCACTTGTTTGCATATTTTTAATAACAAATTAGTGCCTGATGATCTGTTGTATTAGTCGTGGCCTGGTTCTTCAAAGCTAGTATAAACAAAGAGAGGATTAATATTTAGCGTGGTCAATATCAATAGTGCATCGTCCAGGTTCCATTGTTAGTACTCGATTTCATTCATGAGAGTAAGGGAGGTAACCGAAACAAGTCTCGCGTTTTGCAACAAGGGTCTTCGCCGAGTAAGTCAAGGCCGTTGAAATACCCCTTGGCTAATGTTTGTCTTTATTTGGAGGAAACTACTACTATAAAATTCAAAAGGACGCATTATCTAGACTGCTTCCACTCGGTTTCTAAGTTAAAAAAGTCTTATGGTGCGTTATAAAATGTTACGGGAAAAATCCTCTATCACCAGGCCCAAATTAAATTTCCATGTTTTACACTTTAAGCAGGGTTATTAAAAAAAAAAGAACAGATGAGCCCCAAACCATCGTTGCTATGCATAACCCAGCAATTAGACAGTTGATAATCCTGATAATCCGCAACTGGTTTAATTAGCTATTGACTTTACACAGTGCTTAAGGATCCCAGACTGAAAGCATCCTAACGTCAGATCCTTCCATCACGTCTACGACAAAGGGCAAATATCGTCAGCTTCAAGTTGACAATNGGGTGAAATGTGAATGCGAGTTTCACTTGTAGACTGTATGGGAAAACACGAGAAACATGGGTTTTGGACGGTCAAGCTGTCCTACTCCTGGGGAATTAACGAAAAAAACTGGAAAGTCGTTACATCACTAAGATGAACCAAACAGCAACTGGCGAGATTTCGTGAGACATCTTTTGTCGAAGCGGAGACATAAGTGAAAAATATAATAAAAGCCTTTTGCAAAAAACCGCGGAACCTTATAAAGATTAGAAATTAGCATCTTAATTGAAATAATCCCCTCTTCTTATTTCGTTTTTTTGTTTCCTCTGCCTCGTTTTCTCACTGGCGTGGAAATTTTCTCCTGTCGTTTTTCAGTTTATTCTGTATAGTTTTACATTGGCACATGTAAAAGTTAAGAAAAAAAGTAAAAAAAAAAAACAAAAATAATGAAAAACCAAAACCTTTGTTATTCAAAATACCTATCTCTTATTTAACGCAAACAGCAAACTGTAGAATGCCTGGCCACTTATTTGCATATTTTTGCTTAAGTGAGCCGAAGAGGCACCTTTGGTACTTTTTTTCTCTTAGGTTTATCAAAAGAGTCCCAAAACCTGTAAATTAATGGGGTTAGTCCAGATAGGAAAATACTTCTACAGTGAATGTACTAACATAAATAATGGAGTCTTCAGTCGTGCTGTCTGGCCTCCAACTGGCTGAAGAGCAGATTTATTTACCGCCACTTGTTTGCATATTTTTAATAAAAAATTAGTGCCTGATGATCTGTTGTATTAGTCGTGGCCTGGTTCTTCAAAGCTAGTATAAACAAAGAGAGGATTAATATTTAGCGTGGTCAATATCAATAGTGCATCGTCCAGGTTCCATTGTTAGTACTCGATTTCATTCATGAGAGTAAGGGAGGTAACCGAAACAAGTCTCGCGTTTTGCAACAAGGGTCTTCGCCGAGTAAGTCAAGGCCGTTGAAATACCCCTTGGCTAATGTTTGTCTTTATTTGGAGGAAACTACTACTATAAAATTCAAAAGGACGCATTATCTAGACTGCTTCCACTCGGTTTCTAAGTTAAAAAAGTCTTATGGTGCGTTATAAAATGTTACGGGAAAAATCCTCTATCACCAGGCCCAAATTAAATTTCCATGTTTTACACTTTAAGCAGGGTTATTAAAAAAAAAAGAACAGATGAGCCCCAAACCATCGTTGCTATGCATAACCCAGCAATTAGACAGTTGATAATCCTGATAATCCGCAACTGGTTTAATTAGCTATTGACTTTACACAGTGCTTAAGGATCCCAGACTGAAAGCATCCTAACGTCAGATCCTTCCATCACGTCTACGACAAAGGGCAAATATCGTCAGCTTCAAGTTGACAATTGCTCAAAGTAGGAAATATAAAGCAGATCAAAACTATGCAAAATAATTATTTTGGATGAGCCTGGTATGAAGCTACTTATTTTTGTGTAAGTGAAAGGAAAATTTGGTTCCCTGGTGTGCCGTTTGTCGTAAACGCGACTCGAAATCTCTCTTTGGAAGGCTTCAGAGACTCGACTTATTACAATGCAACTAGCGAATGAAGGCCCAATTTTTTTCGGTGGGCGCGCAAGTGAAATCTAGAAATGGGACGGGGACATAAAATTAATCAGAGTGCTGACGAGTCCATGAAGGACCTTCCAAGGGGAGTTGGCAGAGAGGCGGACAGGCACAGTGTTAATATATCAGCCTGTGGTCGTTNATACCCCTTGGCTAATGTTTGTCTTTATTTGGAGGAAACTACTACTATAAAATTCAAAAGGACGCATTATCTAGACTGCTTCCACTCGGTTTCTAAGTTAAAAAAGTCTTATGGTGCGTTATAAAATGTTACGGGAAAAATCCTCTATCACCAGGCCCAAATTAAATTTCCATGTTTTACACTTTAAGCAGGGTTATTAAAAAAAAAAGAACAGATGAGCCCCAAACCATCGTTGCTATGCATAACCCAGCAATTAGACAGTTGATAATCCTGATAATCCGCAACTGGTTTAATTAGCTATTGACTTTACACAGTGCTTAAGGATCCCAGACTGAAAGCATCCTAACGTCAGATCCTTCCATCACGTCTACGACAAAGGGCAAATATCGTCAGCTTCAAGTTGACAATTTCTCAAAGTAGGAAATATAAAGCAGATCAAAACTATGCAAAATAATTATTTTGGATGAGCCTGGTATGAAGCTACTTATTTTTGTGTAAGTGAAAGGAAAATTTGGTTCCCTGGTGTGCCGTTTGTCGTAAACGCGACTCGAAATCTCTCTTTGGAAGGCTTCAGAGACTCGACTTATTACAATGCAACTAGCGAATGAAGGCCCAATTTTTTTCGGTGGGCGCGCAAGTGAAATCTAGAAATGGGACGGGGACATAAAATTAATCAGAGTGCTGACGAGTCCATGAAGGACCTTCCAAGGGGAGTTGGCAGAGAGGCGGACAGGCACAGTGTTAATATATCAGCCTGTGGTCGTTCACTTCTTTGATCACTCCTTTTCTAAACAATGGCGATCTTAATACTGATATCTGTAAAGCCCTCGCTCGCCTTAAAAATAAGTTTCTTCTTTAAATTCTGCAGACAAAAAGAAAGAAAGAAAGAAACAGAGAAATGACAAAAAATCTCAGTGAAACCACCTGCCACCTGCCAGTTGCAAAAGTGTATATGATCCAAAAGTGTAATCAACGAAAAATTCATTTTTGGTTGATTATGCCAGTTTTTTTCAATGTGAAAAGAAGCCTCTCCATATTCTGGTGGAAGCAAAAAGGAAACTAACAAATAATCGATGATAATTTTAATTTTCAGCAGTGTACAGTATCTGGCTATTGAACTACTTGGCAACATATTTGCATATTTGCATATGTGCTAATGTTGCGTATTAGCTATGGCCTGGTTCTTTAAAGCTAAACTAATTTACCGTCATGAATATCAAAGGTTTGGGCGAGTTTAAACATAGAGAGGCTTAAGTCGGCGTGGTCAATAATGATTTTAATTATCATTTTGCATTTACTACGGCATACATACATACATCAGGGGCACCCAACGAGAATATAGTTCAAAACCACTTAACATAGCATTGTTAAACGTATTTTAGTATTTAAACGGTAAATATAGGCATATTTTTATCCCCTAAAAATTTTTCATCTGTTCGGATTTCCTAGCTGAAACTCTAGTGATCCGAAAATTATAGGGATCAAAACTTACATTTTCGAAAATTTCAGCCGGAAAAAAGGCTCCCGAAAATTCTAGGTGACCTTTTTGGGGTTAAAATCAGTTAAAAATGGGCAATTATACCATTTTTTAGATGTTCGAAAATCCTATGAAAGGCAGGCAAGCACGAAATTTTACAACAAATGTTCTGAAAATTCTAGATCTTAAATCGTCTTCAGAACAGATTTTTTTTAAAAAAAATTAACGTTGGGTGCCCCTGATACATACATACATGTTCCTGATTTGGAGTCTTATACGATAAATAGTATACTAGGAGTAATTGGAGCTTAGAAGAGTGCGTCCGATTTGTTTGTAAGGCGTACAGGTAGCAGTTGAGGAGGAAGGGTGGATGGTTATCAGCGATAGATTAAGCCCGGTTTCCATATGATCGCTACGATCTCTGTGATCGCTGCGATCACTGAGAAAAAAAAAAGTTCAGCGATCATATGGAAACCACCCTCCAGCGATCGCAATGACAACGATCGCTGAGATAGAACTTTTTATATCTCAGCTATTGTTGTCGCTGCCATCGCTGAAGAGTGGTTTCATATGATCCCTATGGTCGCTGCGATCGCCGAAGTTTTTTTCTCAGCGATCGCAGCGATCATATGGAAACCGGGCTTTAATTTGATCATGGCATATTTTAAACGTAAGGATTGCTTACAGCGAAACTTCTATTTAAACTGTGTATCATTACGAAAAAGCCTTGAAGGCTAGTTATATCGTATGGTCCGTCTTAATAAGTGCAGCAATTTGGTCGAGTGTGTTAATTCCAGTGATATGGGCTGTTTATATAAAGTTTTGTCCGAATAAATAACATAGACCTAAAATGTTCGTTTGTCCGGTGCCGAAAATACCATAAGTCATGACGAAACGGCGCCGCCGAGCTTCACATCTCGGTAGATTTACTTTGCTACACAACGGCCGCCGAGCTACACAACTCTGTAGACGCCAAATATTGAAATTGTAAGCCCTGTTTACAGGACTGAATACCCTGAAAACCATAACCTGTTCAGCAGTACATGCCCGCCTAGGCCAAATAAGGGAGTGCCCCACTCCCCTGGGGATAAGTGTCGAATTTTTCAACAAGACACTCGACATCTCAGTGCCTGCTGGTCTTTAGCTGTTTCCCTCCCCTGAAGGTGGACCGTAACTTGATTACAGTACTTATTTGCAAAACTGGTTGTACAGCCTCCTGAGTGCACTCGATTAACCGTTGAAGTACTAAAAGGTCAATATTTGTCTCTGTCAATGGGAACTCATCATATTTTTTTAAACTGCTCAATATTTCAATAGAAACTCATTATCCAGGATAATAGACTGCTTCCATTCGGGTTTTTTATGTTGGTAAATAATTTGCTCTTTCGATCGCTTTTGACGCTCAACTCCCCTTCCCTATTATATACCATTTCAATTTGAAAGAAAAGGTACCCCATTCTTGTATCTTCTGTTGACAAATGGTACCCCTTTCATGTACCTAGTTTAGAACTATACATCCCTTTTAACTGCCATAAATACACTGTCTTCAAAATATGAATAAATCACGAAACTGGAACGTTTTCTCGACTATTCCATAGCCATAAAATGCCGTCTGTTGGCATGGGCCAGTTTAAATTCGTTACCCATTCATACACCTGAGGCAACGTCAGACACAAATCGGCAAGGCATAAATTTCCAACTTTCGATCAGAATTTTTTTTAAGACATGGGCGACAATCACGTAAAATAATTACAGGGTACAGCGTTAAGTTTAAATACAAAAGACGTTACTTTAGATGGGTCTAAATATTGCTCAGTGTTACCTAGCAACAGGACCGTTGATAAATCCCTTGTAGAGCAGATACCTTAACAGAAGCTGATGATCTCACGCAAGAGACACGGCATGAGGAAAAAAAAACGAGGGAATGCAGTAACTGAAATTTGTGAGATAAATTATTTTGAAACAATGTTTTATTCACGGTAAGTTTACACTGCTCAAAGATTATAAAATGTGACACTGATTCGTTTGTCTGAACTTCATCTAAAGGGTTTACAAATTCATCGTGAGAAAGTTAAAAGAGTGCATGACAAGAGCAAGACGCCGCTGACCGTTAATACTTTGGCTCCATTACACAGATTTCCCTGGCAGCAGTCAACTTTGCAGTTGACATTACCTTTTGGCCCAGAAAGCTTGCAAAGCTCTGATTTGTCATCTTTGTCGCACTGGATTTTAGTTGCGCATCCCTTGGCGAACACCGCGGCAGACATTTGCCCGCTTGTTCCTTCAACTTTGTATTTGCCACAGCGGTCGGCAAAGGAAGGACATTCTTTCTCTGTTTTTATCTCAGCACAGTCATCCCAACCCTTCGTGGAGACACACTCGTAGCATTTGAGGCCATTTACTAGAAAATATGTAAGCTTCATTAGGACGTCATTCAGTTTCGCAACAATAACAAAATAATTGCTTCTTTTGTTTCCCCCGAAGGTTAGAGTTATCAGCATTCAACTAGATGATTGAGTGGACGCGTTTGTATCAGCGCATGAGTTGACTAAGTTTTTCCTTAATAAGCCTGAGTAGCTGGCGGTTATGTTTTGGCGAACGCGCAAGTGGTTGCGTCGCTTGTTTATGCGCTCGGCAGCAAAATCGCCAGGTATCTGCGCGCGCGGTCTATAAAACGTGGAAAATTTGGGGCAACGTTTTCAGTGCTATTTGGAAACACGTTCCCTCCTGATTAACGTTGGCAATGGCTACCTCTGCCTCTTAAGCAACAACGTTTTTGAGTGACACACGTCAACCAGAAGTGGGCTTTTTGCATCCTTGGGCAGTGGTTTTACCCAACAGAGAGTTTTAGATACGAGTTTACCGCGAACCTCTAACCACTGGAGGTCACGCGCGACGACAAGTCTTTTGCGTCACGTTTGAGGTTTACAACGTGCGTTTTCAACGTGGGGAGGTAGGTTTTCACGTATGTCATTTACCTGAAAGCTTTTAGCGTATAATTCTTGTTTTCCCCACGTAATGATACAAAAATCTTGTGGAGCAAGTCTTTATCCATTAACAGAGGCACAAATTCGGGCGAAATGCTGAATTTGATAAATCCTATTTGATCTTGAAAACAAGTGTCATTCATGGCTGCTGATTCAAAATGGCGGCCGTAATCTAATCCACCGCCAATCTAAATCGAATTATGTTTGAACGTCGAACCGCAAACGGGTAACCGCAAACCGCGGTTAGAGGTTCGCGCGGGTAAACTCGAATCTAAAACTCTCTAATATTTCGGCAAATCATCTTTACAAGAGAAAGAACACTTAGCAGTAGAATTTAGGTAACGTTTAGGCATGTTTAATGGGAAAGGCTTCACTTCCGGTTGACGTACGTCGCTCAAAAACCTCTTTGCTTAAAGTTCCCTGATATCCCGGGCTCCTCCCGTCCCCTTTACTTGGTCAATAAATAAAGTTTAGGCAATAGGACGAAAGGAAGAAGAGGACGGCAAATCCCTTGTGCGTGACGAACGTGGCAAGGTCATTACTTGCGTGTTTTGTCGTGAACTTCACTATTCAAGGTTTTCTGGTCTTTTACGAAAAGATCTGTTTTAATAAAAGCCGAAGTAGAGTTTGGCGAAAAGTTATATGAAACAAAATTATTGCCACGCTTGTCACACAATGTTTGCAGTCTTCTTTCCTCTCCCGTCCTGTTGCGTTAGTTCACTGAAGTAAGTAAATTACACTGCCAATTCTAGACTAGGCAAAGCAATATCCCGCTGCCAATGACTGAACCCTTTTACCGAAATGGTTAATAAACAACTTTAACACATGTAAGTCCAAGATTTATACGGCTTTCCTGCTTAAAGCGGACAAAAGTGACCATACGTGTTCTGCATATCCATTTAAATACCTTGTAATTTTTATTGATCCTACGTTTTTATTCAAGATGTGTAATTTCATAACTTCAATTTTTTTAATGTGATATATAATTATACGTATATATGCACATGAAATTCTGCCATTGATACTTTGAATAGCTGATTCATTACTGCAGGGCATATATAGTTTTCATTTATTTATTGATTTATTAGTCATCTATAATCGGGCTGCCGGTGTTTTAGCAAAATGTGTGGCGAGACAGTATTTAGCAGGATTTTATCATTTTCACGATTTCCATAGGCAGTAACAAAAAAGGCGTTGAATTTCGCCATTCAATCGTTGTCAACTTCATTTTATTTTTCCAAAGTCTAATTAACTTTTAAAAATTTCTATGTAAACTGGAACAAGCAATGGGTGAAATCTTTGCAAATTGACTTTATTTCTAGATAGAAGATATTTGTAAAACTAGTTAATCATTTGTGTATTTGTTGATACATTCCCTGTGTATATCACTGACAGATCACTCTCTGTTCGTGTGATCATTGTTGCTAATGAAATCTGAGATATACAGATGAACATTACCGCGGCTACAATGTACTCCAAAATGCAGATTTGAACCGAAATGTCTTAAGACAGCCCAAGAAAGCGAAAAAACATAACAGATGACCAAGCTAACATTTCGCTTGAAACATGTCTGGATCGGTTCGCAAATCATTGTGCGTCGATTTATTATTACATGAGCCCCACCCCCTGTTCTTTGTTACGTATATTTTAGTATAAAAAAACGTTTTATAACGAGGAAAAGCCTTCCTAAAATACCAGGGAACCAAGATAACTCTTTTGATATGTCTTAATAGTTGTAGAGTTTGAAAAACAATACTTTCAGACGGTGTCTTAGAACGAGTTTCCGACGAACGAATAGGATTACTTTGACTTACCTGTCGAGATGCAAAGAACAAAAGCAAGGGCAAGGAGTGATTTCATCTTACTCATCATTTTTTGCGGCGAAACGCTCTCTCTTTAGAAATCTTCAACCGTTTTTCTCAGTATTCTTGTCTTGCCGGTTGTGTCTGGTCGATCTTGCCGCGGCCTGCTTTCAGTAACTTATGTAACTGAATTTAACACTAGCTCAAATAACTAGAGTAAGAGGACTCTTTTTGCCCCCGCAGGGATTTCGCCCAGAAGGCGAAATCCCGAGGAGGCACTCTTGTAACTCGCGCGTATACTAAGGAAAGTACTTACAGTTGAAATATACAGTCAGTATGCCAGAAAAAAATCTCGATTTGCTTGAACAGGGGCCGCGAGGAATCTTTAAGTAATGGTGACGTTTCTACTGTTTGCGCCCGCAAGTACGAAATGGTTAGGATGACGTAAAGACAGAAAATCCCGAAGGGACCGCTTAGGTAGATTTTGTGACATTTAACACACACCAAAAGCTTTATTTGCATGACCATAAAGGAATTACAGTATTGCAAAAGCTATTAGTCTAAATTTAAGTACTAATTCAACTAATTAGTATGTGCAAAACATTACAAAACGTTACAGTTCTCATTCATTCATTCATTGATATTAATTTGGTTCTTAACTCAAAGCATTGCGAGATAAATGAAACTAATTGACAGTTAATTAAATAATCAGAGGAATTCATAAGAAGAGATATTAAAGTATCGTGTGAAAGTGATTTGAATACAAAAGACGTTACTTTAGATGGGTCTAAATATTGCTCAGTGTTACCTAGCAACAGGACCGTTGATAAATCCCTTGTAGAGCAGATACCTTAACAGAAGCTGATGATCTCACGCAAGAGACACGGCATGAAGAAAAAAAACGAGGGAATGCAGTAACTGAAATTTTTGAGACAAATTATTTTGAAACAATGTTTTATTCACGGTAAGTTTACACTGCTCAAAGATTATAAAATGTGACACTGATTCGTTTGTCTGAACTTCATCTAAAGAGTTTACAAATTCATCGTGAGAAAGTTAAAAGAGTGCATGCCAAGAGCAAGACGCCGCTGACCGTTAATACTTTGGCTCCATTACACAGATTTCCCTGGCAGCAGTCAACTTTGCAGTTGACATTACCTTTTGGCCCAGAAAGCTTGCAAAGCTCTGATCTGTCATCTTTGTCGCACTGGATTTTAGTTGCGCATCCCTTGGCGAACACCGCGGCAGACATTTGCCCGGTTGTTCCTTCAACTTTGTATTTGCCACAGCGGTCGGCAAAGGAAGGACATTCTTTCTCTGTTTTTATCTCAGCACAGTCATCCCAACCCTTCGTGGAGAAACACTCGTAGCATTTGAGACCATTTACTAGAAAATATATGTAAGCTTCATTAGGACGTCATTCAGTTTCCCAACAATAACAAAATAATTGCTTCTTTTGTTTCCCCCGCAGGTTAGAGTTATCAGCATTCAACTAGATGATTGAGTGGACGCGTTTGTATCAGCGCATTAGTTGACTAAGTTTTTCTTTAATAAACCTGAGTAGCTGGCGGTTTTGTTTTGGCGAACGCTCAAGTGGCTGCGTCGCTCGTTTATGTGCTCGGCAGCAAAATCGCCAGGTACGCGCGCAGTCTATAAAACTTGGAAAATTTGGGGCAACATTTTCAGTGCTATTTTGAAACACGTTCCCTCCTGATGATAGCTCGCATCTTTAACGTTGGCGATGGCTGCCTCTGCCTCTTAAACAACAACGTTTTTGAGCGACGCCGTCAACCTCAGGGGAGTAGGCTGTTTGAATTCTTGGTCAGTGGTTTTGCCCCGGGGGATGGGGGGGGGGGGACGCAGATGAAAGGGGTTGGGATGCTCGTAGTCTCGCTAAGGGGTGTAAATTTCGGATTTTGGTCTCACTTATGGTGTTGTGGACAGACCGCCATCATATTTAGCCATGAAGGTCTCGTTTAGGGTTGCACGCGAAAACATATAAAAATATATATTTAATATGTAAATGTTTCATTCGTTTTATTCACTCCATTCATATAATCCAAGTTTTCTCATTTGTCTGTGTTTTAACATGGTCTCTTTTAGGGGTCAAAAAAAGTTTGGGCCCCGCCAAGATCGGTCTCCTTTAGGGGTTTAATACAAAATTTCCGACGAGCATCTCAACCCCTTTCATATGTGGAGTCCCCCCCCGGGGGTTTTGCCCAATGTTTTGGCAAATCTTCTTTACAAGAGAGAGAACACTTAGCAATACAATTTCGGTAGCGTTTAGGCATGTTTAATGGGAAAAGGCTTCACTTCCGGTGTTACGTCACTCTAAAACCTCTTTGCTTAAAGTTCGCTGATATCCTGGGCTCCTGCCTCCAACCCCCTTACATGGTAAATAGCGAGTTTACACAACAGGAAGGCGCGAGGACGGTAAATCCCTTGTACGTGACGAACGTGACAAGGCCACTACTTCCGACGGTTTTGTCGTGAACTTCACTAACATCAATGTTTTCTGGTCTTTTGCAAAAAGATCTGTTTAAAGAAAGTGAAGTTTGAGGAAAAGTTTTGTGAAGCAAAATTATTGTCACGCTTATCACACAAGGTTTTCAGTCTTCTTTCCTCTCCCGTCCTGTTGCGTAAGTTCACTAATAAGTAAACTATACTGCAAATTCTGGACTAGGCAAAGCAATATCCCGCTGCCAATGACTGAACCCTTTTACCGAAATGGTTAATAATCAATTTTAACAAACCAAGATTTATACGGCTTTCATTTAATGCTTAAAGCGGACAAAAGTGACCATCCGTGTTCTGCATATCCATTTAAATACCTTGTAATTTTCATTGATCCTACGTTTTTATTCAAGATGTGTAATTTCATAACCTGACTTCAATTTTTTTGATGTGATATATAATTATTTGTATATATGCACTTGAGTTTCTGCCATTGATATTTTGAATAGCTGATTTTTTACTGCTGGGCATATATAGTTTTCATTTATTTATTTATTTATTTGTCATCTATAATTGGGCTGCCGGTGTTTTAGCAAGATGTGTGGCGAGACAGTATTTGGCGGGATTTTATCATTTTCGCGATTTCCATTGGCAGTCTTAAAAAAGGCGTTGATTTTCGCGATTCAATCGTTCTCAACTTCATTTTGTTTTTCCAAAGGCTAATGAACTTTTTAAAATTTCTATGTAAACTGGAACAAGCAATGTGTGAAATCTTTGCAAATTGACTTTATTTCAAGATAGAAGATATTTGTAAAACCAGTTAATAATTTGTGTATTTGTTGGTACATTCCCTGTATATATCACTGAAAGACCACTCTCTGTTCGTTTGACCATTGTTGCTAATGAAATCTGAGATATACAGATGAACATTACCGCGGCCACAATGTACTCCAAAATACAGATTTGAACCGAAATGTTTCAGGCGTAATGTCTTAAGACAGCTCGAGAAAGCGAAAAAACATAACAGATGACCAAGCTAACATTTCGCTTGAAACATATCTGGAACGGTTCGCAAATCATTGTCCGTCGATTTGTTATTACACTGAGCCCCACCCCCGGTTCTTTGATACGGATATTTTAGTACAAAAAACGTTTTATAACGAGGGAAAGCCTGCAAAAATACCACGGAAACCAAGATAACTCTTTCGATATGTCTTAATAGTTGTAGAGTTTGAAAAACAATACTCTCAGACTGTGTCTTAGAACGAGTTTCCGACGAACGAATACTATTACTTTGACTTACCTGTCGAGATGCAAAGAACGAAAGCAAGGGCAAGGAGCGATTTCATCTTGCTCATCAGTTTTTGCGGCGAAACGCTCTCTCTTTAGCAATCTTCAACCGTTTTTCTCAGTATTCTTGTCTTGCCGGTTGTGTCTGGTCGATCTTGCCGCGGCCTGCTTTCAGTAACTTATGTAACTGAATTTAACACTAGCTCAAATAACTAGAGTAATTGCCCCCGCAGGGATTTCGCCCAGAATAAGACTCAACCCGAAACAAGCAAGACGAGTGAACAACGGCTAGCTTATCACAAGCAGAACGATGGCATGATTACAGAAATTCGCCGACAATCGAATTCTGTGCTGACTTATTCCCTGCTCACAGATGTCCTTCCTCTATAAAGTTTAAAGTAAGACTGGGATGCGCGAGCGTGAATTGATCAAACGTCCTTTTAATTTCTCAAGGGCACCCAACGACCTTTTTTCGGAAAATATCTGTTCGGAAGACGATTTGAGATCTAGAATTTTCGACCATCTAAAACATGGTATAATTGCCCATTTTTAACGGATTTTACCCTAAAAAGGTCACCTGCAATTTTCGGGAGCCTCTTTTCTGGCTGAAACTTTCGAAAAGGTACGTTTTGATCCCTATAATTTTCGAATCACTAGAGTTTCAGCTAGGAAATCCGAACAGATGAAAAATTTTTAAGGGATAAAAATATGCCTATACCTACCGTTTTAATACTAAAATAAGTTTAACAATGCTATGTTCAAGTGGTTTTGAACTATATTCTCGTTGGGTGCCCCTGATTTCTAAGGCTTACTTTCCGGCAAATTAAATGAACTGAATGTAAAAAGTGAAAGAGAAATAGCGAAAAATTCAACTTGTAATTAAATCTTTTCTTATGGTTCAGAATAAACTATTCTCGAAACAGAGAATGTTTTCATCAAAGCTAGCGCTGTGTACATCGAACTGAAACTAGTGCATGGAACCTTGCGTTTCCTGTATTTATCTCACCTATTGTAAGGAATATGTGTGCAAATCTTCATTATGAATCGGTGTATTTCAAAGAGCTACACAACGACCAAGAATGCTATCGACCGACAATATACAGAGCGGGGGCAGCTGTACTGTCAACTATTACTAGTATTAATCATTAGCAATGAGGTGGCGAAAAATAAGTACTCAGAAGAGGCACTGTTCGGACATGTAGGAGTTAGTTGGCCTCAAAAATAACCACAATAATTCCTTAAAATGCGTCCACGAATTATCTTATAATATAGCTTGCCGTAAAAGCTTCCTCGACGCTTTAGGCCTCGTTGTCTCGACTCTACTTTATGCCGGTTGGTTATGTATGTATGACCGATGGAGGCTCGTTATGATCAACCCCCCCTCCAAAAAGATAAATATTAAATAAATAAATAAAAGTATTTTAAGAATCTCCATCTGTGAAAAGTGCTCAGTATGGATTGTTTTAAATGTTTGGCTTGGCTTCGCAAACGAAGATCAGGAAGGTTGTTGTCCACGCCGACGTGGACGTGGATAAGTCCTTCGGCCTGCGCGGCGGAGTTTTTAGGTGGAGTAGAGAGCGCGCAAACTGGCCCCACCCTTTACACCCGAAGTTCATCTGTCATGGCTTAGCAAGCTGGGACGATGGCAGCGAAATCGAAGGGTGGCAGGTTTTACATCAGTTTCCCTCTCCGTGAGGCGGGTAGCCGACCAAGACTGACGAGCCTCCCCTGCCCAAAGCGACTTGGTTATACTGCGCCAGGCACTCGCAATCGTCCTTTCCTTTTGGTTCAAATCCAGGAGGCACCACGTGGAAGTTGGAGTAGGACTTGAGGTCGGCGTCACTCTAGTGGATGTTTTAGGTCCAGTGTTGATTTTCACCCATACCAACATCCAGTGACTATGCGGACCCCCATTTACCCCCCATGACGAGTGCTTTAAACTACTTTTCTATTTAGCTTCACGGTCTTACTCAGTGTTTAATATTTGCACAGTGTATTGACAATCTCTGATGAAAAAATGGAAAATTTGCTTGCTACTATGCGGATTTTTATGCCTTCTTTACGAATTGTGACTTGGGATATTTCTGCTATAATTTTGTGCAACGCTTTAAGAAAATTGGCGTGATAGAACCCTACCGTTGTTGTATAAACAATTTGTCTGTCATTTTACCCACCTCCTCCTCTGTTTCCCAACCTCTTTCAATAAACCCTTATATTAATGACTGGTCCCGAGCTAGGTATCCTGAGTATCAGGCCTTCCTAAGAAACACCTGATACTCAGGCTAGAGCTAGGAAACAGTTTATGTTGTTTCCCTCGAATCTTAAAAGTGACGTTGCACGGGACGATTTGCAAGGACGACTTCTAGTGCAACACAGCATCACAACATTGTTGCAACATTATTTGGAATTGTTGCAACATTGTCCCAACATTGCTATGCTGTATTGCGCTCAAAATGGACGTTGCGAATCGTACCGTGTAACATCACCTTTAATGTTTCTCGAGCCCGGAGATTTTCGGGAAACAAAATTAACTGTTTCCCGAGAAACCACAGATTTTGCAATGTTGCCGGCTCAGAGATTTTGGCGGGAAACAGTTTCATTGTTAGATGTCATGTGACCTCGAAGTAACCAATGTGAGCGCGCTCTGTTGGGAAAAAAGCTTCCAGCTATATAACAGTGGTCTGTTTTTCAGTCCTGAAGTTTTTAGGCTTAAATGAAGGTAGCTTTGGGCCTTTGCCTTTAGCCATTTTTGCTTGATTTTTTTTAATATAAGGAGCTATAAGGTCCAGTTAACGAGTTCAGGCAATGCATGTCAGTATATGAATAGTTTATATGTTCAGGTGGACTTTCTTTTATATTTCCCTAAAAGGCTTTTATTACCGAAAAAAGAAAAAAGAAAAAAGTTTTTGCTCCCGATTCACTGCAAAATACTGGAAAATTATAGATAACGTTAATTTTGAAGAACAGCACAGTTAACAACCATAAACCGGTCGTTCAGTAAGCCCTAGGCTTATACAACTTCGTAAGGGGTTTTAGGAGGTCCTATATATAAAGGGGGCGGGGAAGGGGGCACACAAAAAAATACAAATCATGGCCTACAAATATTAAAAATAAAAGAAGGAACGATACTCTACTGACCGTGAAAGCTACGTGGTTAACCATGAAAATTCGACGAAAAGAAACCGTCTAGAAGACAAGGCTACTTCAGATGCCATACCCGTAAACGTTCCTCAAGTCCCCCTCAAGCCTTTTCCCAATTATAAGACCTCCAGTTATAGACCTTATCATGACGGTCCGGTTGAAAGCCATCTTGTCGGAGAGCCAAACGCTCTGATTTATATACCCTATCCTAGAGTAAACTGCTTGAAAACCATACCCTTCACAGCGGCACATACCTATATAGCCCATATATGGCAGTCCCCCCCCCCGGGGTTCAAGTGGTTTTGAACTATATTCTCGTTGGGTGCCCCTGATTTCTAAGGCTTACTTTCTGGCAAATAAAATGAACTGAATGTAAAAAGTGAAAGAGAAAAAGCGAAAAATTCAACTTCTAATTAAATCTTTTCTTATGGTTCAGAATAAACTATTCTCGAAACAGAGAATGTTTTCATCCAAGCTGTGTAAATCGAACTGAAACTAGTGCATGAAACCTTGCGTTTCCTGTATTTATCTCACCTATTGTAAGGAATATGTGTGCAAATCTTCATTGTGAATCGGTGTATTTCAAAGAGCTACACAACGACCAAGAATGCTATTGACTGACAATATACAGAGCGGGGGCAGCTGTACTGTCAACTATTACTAGTATTAATCATTAGCAATGAGGTGGCGAAAAATAAGTACTGAGAAGAGGCACTGTTCGGTCATGTAGGAGTTAGTTGGCCTCAAAAATAACCACGATAATTCCTTAAAATGCGTCCACGAATTATCTGATAATATAGCTTGCCGGGAAAGCTTCCTCGACGCTTTAGGCCTCGTTGTCTCGACTCTACTCTATGCCGGCTGGTTATTTATGTATCACCGATGGAGGCTCGTTATGATCAATCCCCCCTCCAAAAAAATAAATATTGAATAAATAAATAAAAGTATTTTAAGAATCTCCATCTGTGAAAAGTGATCAGTATGGATTGTTTTAAACGCTTGGCTTGGCTTCGCGAACGAAGATCAGGAACATTGTCGTCCACGTCAACGTAGACGTGGACTAGTCCTTCGGCCTGCGCTGCGAAGTTTTTAGGTGGAGTACAGTGCACGCAAACTGGCCCCACCCTTTACACCCAAAGTTCATCTGTCATGGCTTAGCAAGCTGGGACGATGGCAGTGAAATCGACGGGTCGTAGGTTTTACATCAGTTTCCCTATCCTAGGCGGGTAGCCGACCAAGACTGACGAGCCCCCCCTTCCCAAAGCGACTAGGTTATACTGCGCCAGGTACCCGCAGTCGTTCTCTTCTTTTGGTTCAAATTCAGGAGGCACCACGTGGAAGTTGGAGTAGGACTTGAGGTCTGCGTCACTCTAGTGGATGTTTTAGGTCCAGTGTGGATTTTCACCCATACCAGCATCCAGTGACTATGTGGACCCCCATTTACCCCCCATGACGAGTGCTTTAAACTACTTTTCTATTTAACTTCGTGGTCTTACTCAGTGTTTAGTATTTGCAGAGTGTATTAACACTCTCCGATGAAAAATGGAAAATGTTGCAATGTTTGCAACGTTGCCGGCTCAGAGATTTTGGCGGGAAACAGTGTCATTGTTAGATGTCATGTGACCTCGAAGTAACCAATGGGAGCGCGCTCTGTTGGGAAAAAAACTTCCATCTATATAACAGTGGGTGTTGTTGACAAGTTCCTAATTTGTTTTGGCGTCATTTTTTGCCCTCACCTTCACTGGGCTAATCTGTTTTTCAGTCTCTGAAGTTTTGAGGCTTAAATGAAGGCAGCTTTGGGCCTTTACCTCAGGCAAATGGCTAAAGTTTAGCCATTTTTTCTTGATTTTTTTAACATAAGGCCCAGTTAACGAGCTCAGGCAATGCATCTCAGTATATGAATAGTTTATGTGTTCAGGTGGACTTTTTTTTATATATCCCTAAAAGGCTTTTAATACTGAAAAAACAAAAAAGTTTTTGCTCCCGATTCACTGCAAAATACTGGAAAATTATAGAAAACGTTCATTTTGAAGAACAGCACAGTTAACAACCATAAACTGTCGTTCAGTAAGCCCTGGGTTTATCAACTTCGTAAGGGGTTTTAGGAGGTCCTATATATAAAGGAGGCGGCGGGGGGAAGGGGGGGCGGGGGCACACAAAAAAATACAAATCATGGCCTACAAAATATTAAAAACTAGGAAAGAGAAATAAAAAAGGAACGATACTCTTCTGACCGTGAAAGCTACGTGGTTAACCATGAAAATTCGACGAAACGAAACCGACTAGAAGACAAGGCTACTTCAGATGCCATACCCGTAAACGTTCCTCAAGTCCCCCTCAAGCCTTTTCCCAATTATAAGACCTCCAGTTATAGACCTTATCATGACGGTCCGGTTGAAAGCCATCTTGTCGGGTGGTAAGCAACCGCCTCGAACATGCGCCCATGCACAAGGTCCAGAAATTTAATAAGCGCCTGGGGCGCCTAATCGACTAAATACGATAGAAGGGTGGTGCTGATTTTAATCTCGTACCAATGTCACTCTGGCCGTGGGAGATCTGGATACGAGGTTATGCTAATTTTGATACGCAATTTGCAGTTTACTTGGTAGAAGTCCATTTTGAAAATAGCTCTCTTTGCCTGTTCGTTTATTGGTAAACTGCGCTTGACTCTATTAGGGGCTCGCGAAAATTTGCATTTTATCGAGTTTCATAAGAACAATCTTCACCAGTATAAAATAAGGGTTAATACAAAGGAATTCATGACTAGCACTCTTAGCTTACGATCCGTAGGAAGCTTCAAGGTCATCTCTTTGGTATTTGT